GTTCGAGTTTTGAAGACGAACCCAGTAATAAGAATCATGACTTCTTCATCGAAACTTCATCATCACCTGTGATTAAAGAGTTCATCTTCATCTGATGCCTTCGATGATGCCCTCCAATGAAACCGACAATCTGACGAAACCGACGCCGACCTCCTACGAAACCAAATCCTTTATGTTACCTGTTCAGCACCACCTACGACACATTTTGAATACATGTTTTGCGTTGATTTTGAAGCTTTAATTAACTGACATATAGCTCCACGTAACACCTCAAAAATCAAAGCAAAATTTTCATTTTTAATTCACCAAACATTATTCATAAATCCAAGTCATCACGAAATTATACATTTTTTTTATTAAAGCAATATCAAAGTATCCCAAAATCCACAAGACATCGTAAGCCGTAGAATGTGTACAATCATGCCTCCGCCTTCCCGGAATCTACAAAGTACTTGAAACACATTTAAATCAACATGGTAAGCACGAAGCTTAGTGAGTTCCCCAAAATACCACATACACAAATAATTATCCTCTCATGGCTATATCTCGATAAGGACCCTCCAGTCATGTGTCTCAGTGAAGACCCTCCGATATCACGTCTCGGTATGGACCCTCCGGTTATAATTCAATGTATACACATAGAATAATATAACACCATAAGTCGCAAAGACAAGATGCATAATAACACATATCTCAGTATAAGCAAATAAGACCCTCTGATCAATAATGCAATAAGACCCTCTGGTCAATAATGCAAATAAGACCCTCTGGTCAATAACACGAAATAAGACCCTCCGCTCAATAACACGAATAAGACCCTCCGTTCACACATACATTACCACACAGGTAAGTATAGTGAGAAGACTCACCTCGAATGATGAACAGATCCTACAACTGCTGTTGCTTCACAACGACCCTAAACATTGAGCCAAACCCACAACTGAACTCGATTAGGATCTAAGACCAAGCTCCCACACACATTAAGTCTAAAGATGGTCCACTAATCCGACCCATAAATAGCCCAAGCCCAATGGGCCAACCAAGGCCTAGTACCAAATGGCAAGCCTAAATATATTCCTCTGACCAAAAACCCCCAATGCAGCAAGCCCAAACCAAGACTCCAAACACTTACGGCTTAAAATGAATTGTAGCCCAAAAAAGCCTATAGCGAGCTTACGCATGGCGTACCTTCCTTGGCACGCTCAGTGTACACGCAAAACTTGGTCGGGGAGCTTAATCAGTATGTTGGGCGTACTGCACCTTACGCGGGGCGTAACTGCTTAGGACCAAAACTCGAATATTTGACTTAATCACTTCAGCCCATTGCATCCAATCCTTAGGGAAGCTTCATTACAAGCACTTAACTGATAAAGTTGGCGACTTTATCAGTTTGCATGTCTTCATGGGACCTAACTTCCAAAAATAACCATAAAGACTCATATTAAGCACCTTAACAAATGCATGGATGGCTCTTATCCATAAAGATGCCAACTTTAAGGATCTTGAATCCACAGAAATGCCAAGAGTGGCAACTCAAAGCTCTTGAATTGGTAATAACCACTAGATCCCACCCATGGGATCCAAAAGAGGACAAATCTTACATAATCATAGATCTAGACTTCTAAAGAGCAAGTTCAGATCTTTATACCTCAAATGAGCTAGGAATGAAGTAGAAAGTTTGGATCTAAAAGCCTTCCCTTGAACTCCAAACTTTCACCAACCACCTTCTTCAAGAACATGCACCAAAATGTACCAAAAGCACAAAAATAAGCTCACAACACTCTTGGGAGGGTTAGGGTTTCGAAATGGGTCTCAAGGACATTGGAGGCTGAGAATGAAAGAGCCTTGAGCTCATAAGGATGTTTAAATAGTGCCCAAACCCTCAAAATTAGGGTTTGGCACTCTGCTCATTACGTTGGGCGTACCCCCAGCTTACGCTGGGGGTACTCACCCAGGCATGTGCCACTTCCCATGCACACATGGGACTGAATCGCAAGCTTTTTCCATTAAGGACCAATTCTGCCAATTATTTCAAATTACCATAACTTCCTCATCTTAGGTTCGTTTCCAATGAACCTTATATCCACGAAAATGTGGCGAGAAGCTCCACACTTCTAATGACCCACCATAGCCTTAAAACTTCCCAAACAAAACTAAAAATCCTTAAAATACCGAGCGAACGCCTTTGCCGATACCCTTGGACTCTAACGCACAACCCGAACTCTTTTATCACACAACCTACCTCATCCATATCCAAAAAGGGCCTAAACATTTCTCCTTTATAGCCTCAAAACCTTCTCATACCTGGATTCACGGCCCACGAGCCTTAAATCACAGAACGATCCGAACAGGATGTACACTCCAAATGATGGAGATGATTCTTCAAAATGGCTATGGTCGGTGTTGACGACCGGTTGTGGCGGTGGTTCTTCACATTCGTATTCGTACAATGAGTTTTAATTTAGGGTTTCTGTTTAGGGGAAATAAAAAAAAGGATAAGCCATATAGATTAAGATGTGATTTTTTAATTTTGAAATAATTAAAAAAAGCCACATAGACCAAGGGTAACCGAGAAATCCTTTAAATTCGAGAATAATGGCTTAAGTTACAGGTCAATAACGAGTTTAATGGTCTAATGTGCAAAAAAAAAAAAAAAAATTAGTGATCGAATTGGTCAAATGACAAAAGTTGAATGTGCTATAGTGACTTTAACCATTTTCCGAACACCTTCCGTTGCAACATTGTTAGTGGTACCCTATGGGTGTGAGACTACAAGTGGTTCATTACACACAAGATCTCTTAATATTATATTAGTAAAAAAATAAAAAAACAAAAAAAAAAACAAAAATAATAATATATTAATTAAAGCACACCTAAACGGTACTAATCTAGTTAATATTCTATTTGCAATATAAATCAGATATCAAATAAAGATATTTACTATGAGTTTGAAAATATTTGGAACTTTAGTTATAATTTCTAATATCTATTTATAATATATAAATAGATAGGGTAATATATGAATTTATATGGTGTTTGTTGAGAAGAATAATAAAAAAATGTGATCTTTTATATGAGCGTGACGTTGAGTTATTGAAACTAAAATTATATAAACATAGATTGAAATGCAAGAGTTGTCTTTTTATTTAATTTTGAAAATAATCTAAGATGTTATATCATCAAAAGTTGTTCTTCAACTACAACAATCTCTAACAATCTGTCAATTAAATTTTGATATACATTTTGCAACAATAACCGGATACAACGATAACGATATTTTTCATTGTTTTGAAAACAATCTAATATTTCTTTTAATTTCTAATATTGAAAACCATCATTAACACCATAAACAACAAAAATAACAAAAATAAAGGAATTATGATAAAAATACGAAAAATTTATTCAAACAAAAAAAAATTGTCAATAAAGGATTTTTTAAAAGAAAACAAAAGTAGGTTTTTTTTTGTCAAAAAAATGAATAAATTATAAAAAGATTACAAGTAGCTTGTTCAAAAAGCCCGGACAAAAAATTCAGAAAAATATGATATTTTTTCTAAAATAAAAATAAAAATATAATTTTTAAGGAAAAAAATCTAAATTACAATGTCTTTTACAATATTAATGATCAGTGCAAATTATCATGTTTTCTTAGAGAAGGCCGAAGGAGAAATGGTGCTTTTCTGCTCCGTTTGTAATCCATTTAAATGGAATATGCCTCCATAACCCTATTCTTAATTGTTAATGGCATGTATGCTGTGTACGTTCAGAAGAACATAGTTACCGAAGCTACCATACATATATAACGATAAATCATCTCACTCCAATTAGATAGCCGAATGTAAAAGATACATATTCTAAATACCACCACTTAGTGGTGTGAAACCTTTTAAGTTGGTAATCATATAGTATATTCGAGTTAGCTCTCAATTTATATAAAAACAAAAACTCCAAAAAATAATATTTAAATCCTTCTAAACTTGAATATCATTTTTCCTCATATGAAAAAGCTATTTAGAAGTATCCAAAAAAGTAGGCAAGCACATGAACATGAACAATTCATTGTAGGAGGCATTTAATAGTATACAATAAATAGCCTCTATAGTAGGTACCAACCATTAACAAACCCAAACCTCACCTGCATTCCATTTTAATTGCTGTTACTTAAGAAACAACATTGCCCTAAATTACATAATGGATATTCACTCAATCAACAATAAATTTCAACTTTTTAAAGTTGAGTTATTACTTATTATAAAGTCGTGTCATAGTCTTCATAATTTCTGGTCCCCTTGATAATTATTATTTTGTTTTACCAAAATTTTGATATATTAGTTAAAGAGACATATAGGCATAACAAGTGAAAAGAGTAACGTCATGCTTTTACACAAAAAACTTATAGATGATGTTTGGCGATTTTAGTAAATTATTTGTTATATGAGTTATTTAAATAAATAGAGATTTATATAGGAGGGGTTTGTCTTTCTTAATAAGCTCCCATTCTCCACGTTCATTTACTACTATTCGTTGTAAGTTCTTTTCGTTTAGTATTAGTAATATTTTTATTTTTGATAATTTATGAGATGAGAAAACGTAAGATGATCTCATGTATATGAAACATCATACCATAGTAAAAAGTATAAACATAGTAAACAAAGGAAAAATAGAAAATACCAAGTATACAATATGCTGAAAATATTCATAACTCAACATGTATAAATTAATCACCCTTCATTGAAAAAAAAAAGATATATAATATTCATTACATGTATATATTATTTATTCGCAAAAAAATAAAAAAGGTAATAACTTGTGAAACACTTGGATATTGTCACAATCTAAATTTGCCAATTTTTTTCTTCCTGGCAATCAGGTAACCTGTGAGATGTCTTAGTTTATGACGCTTTTGATCGTGTGACCATAAAACCGTCTGTGATGCAGCATAAAGTAAGCCGATAGTGTACTTTAGTTCTTATATATCATCGCACCAATAAATAATAATATTAACAATTCATAGACTCTCGATCACGTGCTACCCCCGTGCTACCGATTTTGGCCACTATGGGTGCCAAATCCCGTGTGTGGAGTTTCACTTTAAGACCGTATTTCATAAACAGAGTTAGTGACATCTTTTGCTCTACACGGTGGCCGGGAACCACCGAGAGGCGGTGGCGGAGCAATACAGCTGCCGCTATTGACTTCATTTGTAAGTAAGCCAAGTCCTTGCCTAAACAAATTCTGGGTCCGGCGTTGAATGAGACAAATCGGAATTGATCCTTCATGATCTCAAACTTTTTACCGTCGTCGGTTAACCACCGCTCCGGCCGGAACTCGAGAACGTCTTCTCCCCAGATGAATTTCATCCGACCAGTGGAGTAAATTGAATAAGTGACGGAGGAACCAGCCGGAACAACCGTGCCGTCTGGTAGGATGTCATCGGCCGCGACGTGCTTGGAGTCCTCCGGAACCGATGGGTATAGCCGGAGTGTCTCCGTTAATGCTGCTTTCAGATATGTCAATTGGTCAACTTCTTCGAAGCCCAAAGGCTCCTCTAACCATTTACTCGTGTCACTGCCACGTGTCTCTATTAAAACTGCACACAGCTCTGTCAAGATTTTCATTTCGACTCTCGGATTTCTAATTACGAGCCAAAAAAACCAGCTCAACGCCACTGATGACGTGTCACGTCCAGCTAAGATGAAATTGAGCGCCACATGCTGTAAGAACGTGTCTGAGTACGACTCTTTCTTCTTCATGAACCGAGAGAGCAAGTCATCATGGGGGGTGCCACCGTCGGCGTCGACCTTATTCAGCAACTCCAGCTTACGTGTATTAATGACAGCTGTCAGATACGTGTCCACGTGGCTTAAGCTTTGGCTCAAGTCAACCTCCATACCGAGCCCAAGCATTTTCTTCAGCTTCCATATACTCTCCGGCAAGATAAAGCGTTGCAGGGTGGCTTCAGTGGCTCGGTCAAAAGCCGATGCAAAGCTATTTTCCGGTAAACCGGGGGATAAAGTTTGTGGGTCCATTCCGAAAGCCAAGCCGCATATGTTATCGAAAGTGAGCCGAAGCAAAAGGTCTTGTAAATCAACCGGCTTGTTTTCAAGCTGAGCTGTTTTTAAAAGGGGACAAAACCTGAGTTTGATGGCTCGGTTCACCCAACGAGCCATGGCTTGTCTGAGGGTCCGGGTGGTGAACTCCAGTGCAGCAGTCTTACGCTGGAAAAGCCACGTGTCACCATCGGAGTTAAAGATCCCTTCTCCAAGTAGATCATGGAAAACAGCTTGCCAAGTCGGGCCCTTTGGGTAATTATCAAATTTAGCCTTGAGAATATGTTCAAGGTTTTTAGGATCGCACGTGACAGTCACAAGACCTTGCTTCCGTGCTAGAAAAGGGATGGGAGAAATACAGGTTTGGTAAGTGCCTCCACACGCACGAAGATTATCAGCGATCCAATCATGCATACGATTAGCGTTCTGGATTAAGCCTGGCAAGCTGCCCAAAACAGGCCACACACGTGGACCACTTAACGACCGTGTGATTGACTTGAACCATATCACATACGCTACGACACCAGATAAAATAAGCCACCACGTAGACGAATCCATCTCACCCCTTGATCCAACTTCCAAGTTCCAAGTTAAGCAACACAACACCACGCTGCTCCCTCTCACACCTTAACTACCAACAACCACCTGGAAAACCATGCAACTTCACAACCTAAGCATATGCAAAACTTCCAAGCGGAAAATACAATATCAATATTAATTTCTGCAGACAGTAACTCATGTTACAGTATTACTCAATTATGATGAATAATTATATATAATACCATACCATACCATAACAATGCTGTTGCTTATAAATTAGAAAATATAAAATGTATATGCTTACCAATGAGTCGTGTATAGAATGACTATGGAGGATGAAAGAGTTTCCTTAGAGGGCGATGGAAAAAAAGTATGGGTGGGGAGATAGAGAAAAATGAAGAACAAGAGTCATTTAAATAAGGAACAACGCAAGAAGGTATGATACCAAAGGGAAAGGAGGCTATTAATGAGCTACAACCAATATTATATTATTGCTTTTATATATATATATATATATATATATATATATATATATATATATATATATAGAGAGAGAGAGAGAGAGAGAGAGAGAGAGAGAGAGAGAGAGAGAGAGAGACTTCTCAATTGTGTAGGTAGTAGGACCAATATGATTTTAAAAAATATTAAATAATTAAATTAGTAAATAAGGGTTTTGGTCATTTTGATTTTTATTAACAAAAAATAAATTCTTATAAATATTGGAAATCCTTGTTTTCACGTCTCGAATTTCTTATAACCTAAATTGACATAAAAGGTCCATCGCTGCAAATTAGGACTTTATACTCTTCTCCACCTGAGTTATCTTGAACGAGCAAAAACGAGTAAGATGTCGACTGTCCAAAATTTGACTCAAGAACAAGGAACTCAAGATGATTCAGGAAGAAGGGTTGATAGCATGTGGATATTTGTTTCAAAACCAAATATATGGAAACTCGTTAACATCAAAATCATATTCTAATAATATATTATTTCTTATTTTGATGTTGAGTAATGTCCTTGACCTTTTGTAAATAAGATATTCTAGAATCAAGATATTGGATATATACAAAACTACAAAAAAGTATAAGTGAAAATTGATGAGAAAAAATGTGCTTCGAAGGAATCAAGAGTTTGTCCGATTATGTTGTTTTACTTTATTATATATATATATATATATATATATATATATATATATATATATATATAAAAATATTGATATGATATTATTTAACTATGTATTTTAGGTCAATATTATATCTTAAAATATTTGAATAAAAATGTTATATTTTAAGATATATGATATTTAATATGTCCTAAAATGTTGAATGTTGGGATACAAAAGGAAGCAAACGGAGCTGAAACGGACGAAAAATGACAACATCGGAGAAAGACGCTGAAGACGCGTCGCACCTAATTAAAATGCTGAAATTTTTTGTTTTTTTGTCTAAGGTGGTTTACGATTTCGTGGCCAACAAGAAAACCTGATACCATGACGTGACAAAGGTATTACCACGTTGTGACGACGTTGTAACCTATAAATTAAGCCGAAAATTAACCCTAAAAATAGATCTTACAATCACATTTGTTTTCTGCGAAAATAAACCCCAAAGCTGCAGTTTTGAGAGTCTAGAAGGCGGTCGGAGGGCCGTTAAGCTGATGTGGAGCGAAGATCTAAACGATTCGAGAGCAAATTAATGATCAGAATCTATCGGTTTGCTTTTCTGATCACGATTAGTATTCAAGTTGTGTTCTTTTTGTTTTTACTTTTTGAATTTAGGTGTTAAAACTTTTTGTTTTGCGTTTTAGGTTAGATGAATCATGAGATTTTGGATTAAATTGCTATTTGGTCGGTTATTCTTATTTAATTTATTTTGTCAAATAACACCCATCTTTGCGCATTCAACTCGTGGCAGCAACCCAAACATATAAACAACATAGGACCAAGGCTCCCCAGCCACCGACTAGGAGTAGAAATGGCGGTGCGAGGGCCGCCGGTACCCACAGTCGTCACACATAGCTTCAAATTGCCAAAAAGAACGAAGGAGGGGAGAGATAAGTCACAGTTAACCTTACCGAGGGCCTAAGGATTGGGCCTTGGGCTTGAATATGCCAAGCTTGGGGTAATGTAGTAATTATCCAAAGTATGTACTTATGGTTATGTAGTGGAACCCAATTATTAATTGGGTGTTATTTGGTGTTGACAGTTTGGGAATCTGTCATCCAGCAGCTGGGGTTGAGTCTGCGGGACTTCAGCAGTGTGGGATTGAGTCTGCGGGACTTCAGCAGTGCCATGTGAGTCTCCTCACCATACCAATGGGTGTAAGGCACCAAGGCCGGCCCATTTTATGATATGTAGTACACTAGTTGAAGTTGTATTATGTGGCATGTCAGTTGGTTATGTTCTAGGAAGTATGTTAGTAGTATATGTGTTATGCTTGTATGGAAGACCATGGGAGAGCCCAGGGCACCTGGATGTAAGACCATGAGGAGAGCCCATGGCTTTCCTACTATGTTGTAGTGTTTATTGTAGATTCACTACTGATATGTTTGGTATGCATGTATATGTGGTATGCTAATTGTCTTGTGATATTTGCATGGAAGACCATGGGAGAGCCCATGACACCTGGATGTAAGACCAAGTGGAGAGCCCATGGATTTTCCTATCAAAGACCATGGGAAAGCCCATGACACTTAGGTGTGAGACCATGTGGGGAGCCCATGGCATCCTGGAGTAAGACCCTGGGGACGAGCCCATGGCATCCGTATATGTTTATATGCATGGCTATGTGATCGATACGGATATGTGATTTATATGGTTTATGTAGCTTTTATAGCTAATATGGATTATGTGATTATGTGGACTGTGTGGGGTATGCTCTGGGGAACTCACTAAGCTTCGTGCTTACGGTTTACAGTTTTGGTTTCAGGTATTACGTTTCAAAGGAAAGAAGCCGACTCGATCGCAGCGCATCACACTATGATTTTCCGCACATGAGATCTTTGGGATTACACTCTGATATTGTTTTATGATAACATGTTTTGATTATTTTTACCTTGCTTTTGACATGACATGATATTATGGATGTTTTATTATACTGTTGGTTTTATAATAACCTAATTAAAAATGAAATTTTTACCCTTGATTTTTGGGTCGTTACAAGTTGGTATCAGAGCCTTGGTTTGAGGGATTCGGACACACTCTCGGGTGTGTCTGGACTCAAACTGAGGACTTGGTATGAAAATTTTCAAAAGTAAAACCATTTTATAAAAAGAAGTTTGAAAATAATTTGAAAAGAGAAAGACTTTGAAAGGAACAAGGTGTGTGATGCGTGCAATCAGCAGAGCTCAAGTAAGTTTCCCAGAATACCCACATATGTCGCCTGTTATGATTTGATTATGAATTTTTGAATCGCATGATAGTTAGGGCTAGGAGAGATGCCTTAATATGTTATATGAGCTGGTAGACTTGCATGCTAGTGCTGAGTAGTCAGCGATAGAGTTGGCATGATATGTGATGCTTGTAGCCTTGGAGATACGAGATGCCATGTTGGAATAAGAATGATTATTGGTATTAGTAACTGCTATGTGTATGCTTTTAAAATTGTATACGGTTAGGATCTTATAGCCTTAGAATGATTGATTTGGCCTTATTTCCTGTTCCTTGTCTGGTTGTGGTCCTAGGGTAGAGTCTATTATTCGACAGTCTATTAGATCATGTTCTGTGTATAATTTGCATGCATAAGGCAGCCGACAGTGAGGATGGATGGATGGGGATAGCGCGAGTTGCGATATGTGGGCTGAATTTTCTATGATAGTCCTTTGGATCGGAGTGCTACTGCACGAATGCTGCTTGCTTTGTGCTTTGTGGAACTCCTAAGTGATGGGAGTCAGCCACTAAGTGGATATGACGATATCCAGGAGGTGGATGGCTGGCATCATGGGGAGTTCTTCAGCAGCTGATGGTATGGCGAGGTCGGGAACCTAGGAGAGCCTAGGATATGATTCGGCAGGTTAGTAGTGAGGATTAGTGAGACTTGGGTGCATCAGTCTGAGGAAGTGACTTGGAGGATTCGGGAGGATTGCCGATGAAAGTATGGATAAGTGTGGAAGGTAGTATTGGGCCCGTACTACTGAAAGCACAGGACCCATACTCGAATCGGTGAGAATTTTGGAGAATCTGAGAAGCTTTGGGGAGAAGTTTGTGACCTGGTTTGGGGGACAGAGGATGTTCCTGATGTTGCAGCTCATCCATTGGCAAGTGAGCTAGTGAGCGTGACAGGGTGTCAGACCCTGAAGGATATGATTTCCAAGAGGTTTTAGATGGGAGATCAATTCAGAGTCCCGGAAAGAGAGGGTTGTGCCAGGTGCGTAAAGTAGAGGGTCCCGGGAAGAGACCCATGATTTCTGATCATCGGGTGAAAGGCCAGTAGAGCCGGAGTCAGTGCAGCACGTGCGAGAAAGTGCACAAGGGAGTTGTCGCTCCAAGGGTTTAGGCTGCTACAGGGTAGCGGGATTGATCATGTCAGCAGAAGGTGATCAGGATTCCTCCAGATTGTTGACAATGGACTATTAGAAAGTAAGAAGAATTGGGAACCTGAATCGCTTTAGAATTATGAGGGAGCGGGGATAAGTTAGATCTCGGGTCGGTTCTCTGCTAGTGTCTGGGTTATCAAGGATCATATGTGGCATCCTGCATGTCGAAAAGTCCTTGATGAACCCACAGAGGGACGCATATTGCGGAGTGGGTTCCGTGCGTACCGTTATCATTCCGTATCTTTGTCAGGATCTATGCAGGAGTATTATTTAGAGGATACTCGGTCAGGGTTAGAGTGATAGTTCTCCAGTGAAGTCAGCGTTCATGGGTTCTGTCATTGTTCAGGTGTGGTCGACAATTGTCTATGGATGAACTTTGGAGTTCAAGGCACTACCGTTACTAGGACAAAACTGGTAACATGAAGAGGGTAGTGTTAGTTGCGGGTGTTAGATGCATAAGTGGTTGGTCATCGGATGTTCGAGAG